TTAGATTAATATAGCACTTTACAAAGAATATTTTTGGGGGGAGTGGGGATGCAAAATTTGCCAATAAGGTGTCAGCTCTATACTAATTAGAAAGGGATATTTGAATTTTACATTTAAAACTATGAAATTAATAAAATAATTGTCCCATCTTTTCTCACTGTCAAGTTCTCAGAGTCTGCTACTAAAGAACAACCAAAAAAAATCCATTTTCTCCTGAGTAATAATTGCACAGAATGATAAATCCTGTGCTATCAGATGCTATGCGTGGCCGTAAGACACAAAAATATAAATACTTAATAGACTGTGATAAAAAAAACCCTTAGTTAACAGTGTAAAGAAGATGTTTGGATATCACAAAGATAGGCCAATATAAATAAAGTGAAAAGATGACAACAAATACAATCAGACCAATTTTCTTGCTTTCACAGCGCTCTGACTGAAAGGTTGTTTTCTTGGCATATAGGAAAGCAGTGGACACAGGGTTTTTAAAACTCCATCCTTTGAAAATGTAAGAATAAACAGTGCTGGATAATACCATACATTTTAAATGGTTTATGCCAAGTTGCTGAAGTAATACCTTACCAAGATGACTGAAGTACCAGATAGAAAACAATCCCATTTTTGACTGCAAATCATTTTAACAAAGAAGCACCTGATTAAAAAAAAAAAAAAAAAAAATCATTTTGGGCCTGTACTGTGTTCATGAAGTTCAATAAATTTCTTTGTGTGTGTTTTCTGAAAAAATACTAATAGCGATATGAAATTAACTCAATTAAAAAAAAATCCCAAATTAAAACAGCAAAGCTCTTGATGATACTTCACAAGCAAACATACAAAATCCAGATACTTTCTGCTTTCTCCTCTGCTTGGACCCTTACAAATATTTAATTCACTGCCAGTGGCATTGAAGCAAGTTTCTGGTGGTGGCAGCTCTTGTCCTAGTCCACTTTAAGTGGATTCAGGGTCAAAGGGAGAAGCTAATAGAAGAGAAGACTGGGAAAAAACTGCCAGTCAGAGATAATTGCAAGCTACAAGCAAGAATCAGGAGTCAGAAGAGCCAAAGAACGAGGCCATCCACTATAGGGGTGAAGACAGCAAAAGGGAGTTACTAGTTCCTGATCTATAGAGGCAACATGTCACAGTTACGTGACATTATTCACTGGTGGTCCTCTTTTGCACAACCCCTTGCAAAATTTAGTTTAAATCCTAGGCTTTGTTGGGAGAATTTCGCTGCCCTTTTTGCGTTATGGTTCGCTTCTTCCTAATGGCACAAGATAGGATGCTGTTTGTGGGATCATCTTCTAGTGAGGTAGCTATTTTGCTCATATCCTTTCCATCTGTAAGATAAATCTTACCTTAGATTACTTGTATTACACAGTAAAAGTAATCATGTATAAATTTTGATTTGTTTTTAATATTTACTGTAGCAAGGTAAGTTTATTTTACTGTAATCACTTGTGTCCTCATCTCTGTTTGGCCTTCATTTGAGCAGAAAATACCATTCTTTGCTTTCTTTGCCTGTTAATTAAGTTCACCCAAACAGATCTCAGAAATTGTTTTTGGTTTTAATAAAACACATCAAGCTTAAAAAGCCTTTCTAGAAGAGTGAACAGGGATTGGGGGGGAAAAAAAAATTCTGCAAGTTCTACTTACATAGAATATTTAAAAATAGGCACCAAGAGATTTCTACTCAGTGAATAAAAATCTGTCTTCAATTAGCAACAAATTTACCATTTTATTTATGACAGATCTTAGATGAGTTCACGGGCATGTTTTAAAAATCCCTGTGAGCAAAGCCAAGGTCTACTGCTGGGTGCTGCTTCCCCTGTGCCCACGCAGGTGTTACCAACCTCAAAGATGTCACAGCAGCAGCCATAGCCAATGTGCAGGAGCGGAAAAGCTTCTATAAGTACATCGGTGATAAAAGGAAGACTAGGGAAAACATGGGCCCTCTCTGGAAGGAAACAGGAGACCTGGTTACCTGGGACAAGGAGAAGGCTGAGGTACTCAACAATTTTTTTGCCTCAGTCTTCACCAGCAGGCACTCCAGCCACACAGCCCAAGTCGCAGAAAGCAAAGGCAGGGACTGGGAGAATGAAGAACCGCCCACCGCTGGAGAAGATCAGATTTGAGACCATCTAAGGTGCACAAGTCCGTGAGATCTGATGAGATGCATCCGTGGGTCCTGAGGGAACTGGCGGATGAAGTGGCTAAGTCACTACCCATCATATTTGAGAAGTCGTGGCAGTCCAGGGAAGTTCCCACTGACTGGAAAAGGGGAAACATAACCCCTATTTTTAAAAAAGGAAAAAAAGAAAGACCTGGGGAACTACAGGCCAGTCAGTCTCCCCTCCCCTCTGTGCCCAGCAGGATCAGTGAGCAGATCCTCCTGGAAACTATGCTAAGGTACTTGGGAAAAAAGGAGGTGATTGGTGACAGCCAACATGGCTTCACTAAGGGCAAATCGCACCTGACAAATTTGGTGGCCTTCTATGATGGGGTTACAGCATTGGTGAATAAGGGAAGAGCAACTGACAGCATCTACCTGGACTTGTGCAAAGGATTTGACACTGTCCCGCATGACATCCTCGTCCCTAAATTGGAGAGACATGGATTTGATGGATGGACCACTTGGTGGATAAGGAATTGGCTGGAACATTGCACTCAAAGAGTTGGGGTCAATGGCTCAGTGTCCAAGTGGAGACTGGTGACAAGTGGCGTTCCTCAGGGGTCGGTATTGGGACTGGCGCTTGGTCGGCAACATGGACAGTGGGATGGAGTGCACCCTCAGCAAGTTTGCCAATGACACCAAGCTGCATGGTGCAGTCAACACGCTTGAGGAAAGGGATGCCATTCAGAGGGACCTTGACAGCCTTGAGAGATGAACTCGTGTGAACCTCATGAAGTTCAACAAGGCCAAGTGCAAGGTCCTGCGCATGGGTCAGGGTAATCCCAAGCAAAAATACAGGCTAAGCGGAGAATGGACTGAGAGCAGTCCTGAGGAGAAGGACTTGGGGATGTTGGTTGATGAGAAGCTCAACATGACCTGGCAAAATGCGCTTGCAGCCCAGAAGGCCAACCGTATCCTGGGCTGCATCAAAAGAACTGTGGCTAGCAGGTTGAGGGAGGGGATTCTCCCCCTCTACTCTGCACTCATGAGAATCCACCCAGAGTACCATGTCTAGCTCTAGGGCCCGCAACACAAGAAGGACATGGACCTGTTGGAGCGAGTTCAGAGGAGGCTATGAAGATGATCAGAGGGCTGGAGCACCTCTCCTATGAAAACAGGCTGAGAGAGTTGGGGTTATTCAGCCTGGAGAAGAGAATGCTCCAGGGAGACCTTAGAGCAGCCTTCCAGTACCTAAAAGGTGCCTACAAGAAAGCTGGGGAGGGACTTTTTACAAGGACAAGGGGCAATGGTTTTAAACTGGAAGAGGGAAGATTTACATTAGATACTAGGAAGAAATTCTTCACAGTGAGGGTGGTGAGGCAGTGGCACAGGTTGCCCAGAGAAGTTGTGGATGCCCCCTCCCTGGAAGTGTTCAAGGCCAGGCTGGATGGGGCTTTGAGCAACCTGGTCTGGTGGAAGGTGTCTCTGCCCATGGCAAGGGAGCTGGAACTAGATGATCTTTAAGGTCCCTTCCAACCAAACCATTCTATGATTCTGTGATTCTATGAATTCATAAAGTAATAACTCATATAGTGAAGGATGATCAGAAGATGCACACCCTGGGAACTATGAAAGACTGGGACTTCTTCATCTCACACAAGAGGGTAGATCTCAGAAAATTCAAATTTACCTTTTGAAATTGTTGCTAGTGCTTTTCTTCACAGAAGAGAACAGTTTGGTCTCAAGCACAAAGTGCTGTGATAGTTTTTTGGTGAAGACTGCAATAGGAGACCATTTCCACAGCAGAAATGGCCAACAGTCTGCCTGCAAGCAATACCCAGGATTTTGACAAAGGATGTTAAAATCAAAATCAGAGGATTACAATATTATCTTTCAGATCACGCTTTCACTATTATAAAGCACAGTCACACAGAAAATAAAGTGACATGAACCTCAGCAAAGAAACAGACAGCCATAGTGAAGCAGGATATTATAAGTGAAGCACTTAACTTTTACTATCAACACAATGTGTTTAAACATTTTTATACTTGCTGATGTGTACATTTAAACCCCAGGAATAAAAAAACCCAAGCAACTGATTGTCTTCATGTCATAATATATTCAGGAATGTTCACTTATTTTTTTCATAGCTGAACCATGGAATAATAACTTCAACACAGAAGATATGTAGGCTGTGGGATTTCCAGCTCCATCCATTTGAGATAATGATTGAGGAGAATTTTACTTTCCACCTCGTTGTTCTTATTCACTAGAACAGTAGCTGAATATCATTTATGCCAGCTAGCTGGCATCGTTGCTCTCAACTTTGATTATTACCTTCCAGACAGATATTCCCCATAGCCAAGAAGGCTCTAACAAAACTCCATCCTTGCAGTGAAGTTAACTTTAAGTCAGTATTGTTTTTTTCCTCCTAAAGCAGCCAATTGCTTATAAAAATATTAGAAGTATCTTTCACATTTGGATTAAGAATGAAAAGAACAAAGATTCCTTTTATAATCAAATTCAATTCACAATGAAAATTATTATTACAAGTTACACCTTTAAATACGATCTTAAATACAAAATTATTCACAGCAAAACTGACAAGCATCCACACTGGGATCAACTCCTTCCCTTATCTATTTGAATGTAAACATCAGCCTAACTAAAAAATCATGACCGTTCTCTGTTTGTGTAACAGTAATTTCACAGAATTTTCTGTAATAAAAATTATTTGGATGGACTTTTCTGGTTTTTAATAACATATTTGTATGTCAATAAAGCAATTATCATTCTATTTAATAAATATTAAATAGGTGAGTTTTCATAGATCTGTAAACTGGAGACTCTAAATAAGTATGTTGCATCTTTATGACTGAGTGGTACTTACATGGTTTGGAAAGTCAGCCTTCAGTTCAGCAATGCTTTTACACCAATAGGCTGCTGTTTTCTCGCTGATCAGTTCAATGTTTAGAAAAGAGCCTTGGCCTGGGCCATACACAGGACCTGAAGTAATTCCACGCACAATCCTTGGAGAAACATTGGTCACAATGTCCTGCAAAACAGTGAAACCTTTCAGATTGATTTTGCAAAGTGAGGCATATATCAATGAAGTCTACGACATAATACAAACTTAAATGTATTAGGTATTTTAAAAATCTACTGTTATTATGAGTAAAAACTACAATTATAGGTCAGTTCTCTAAATTAGCAGATTCTCTAATTAGATTGTCTGCATCAGAGGAGAAAAATGTTTGCTGTGCGTGTGAAATGGTATGATAACTATCAAGAAAACGCCAATATGGGACACCTATAAACTGCCATAAAAAATATCATTCAAATAATTATTTTGTGTTGAGGAGAGGGCATGTAAGACTTTGAGTAAAAACCTGTGCAGGCCTCAGTCATTTAACAGCATACATGTGAACCATCCTTCCCAAAGATAATCAAAGTCCATGTCCTGCACTAACAGGTGAAGTGCAAAGAGGTGCTGCTCACCAGCCTCTCTGCTGAAAAGTCAGGGTCACGGGTCCAGTCACCAGAAAAGTATATCGGTGTACCAAATTTCACAAATTATATGATTAAGAGAGATCAAAATCAAAAAATAAAATAAAAAATAGTGAAAATTAAGATCAATATTGTAAAGCATGACATTTCTGAAGGTCAACATGAGGTTAGCAAACAATTTTGAAACATACAGTAAACACACAAAATGTTGACTTGTTTAGTAGTCTTAATTAAGTTGCAATGTCACTGTATCTATAGTAACTAAGAACTGTAAATTCTGACATTATTTAAAACCAAAGAGAAACATACATGGCAAAATGTTGCTTTTGCCAATTTCCAATTAAAAACAATTTTGAGTAAAGGTCATTTATTTACAAATTTATCAGAATTATTTGTTGAAGTACCCCTCCTCACCATCTTGTCATTTTTAGGGAGATAACATGAACCTCCATTAGTATATAGCAATTAAGGTCAATTTACATATTTTAATTAAGAACCATCCCATATAAAACAATTAGGGTAATAGGCATACTAACTGGATTTCATAACATTTGGACGTTTTTCCAACTAGATAGACAGGAAACCTTAATTAGCATTAATTAGCACTGATCTGCATATGTTTGATAAGGCATACCCTTGCCACAAAAGATTATTTATTCCTGAATCTGCCAAATGCTGCAGTTACAGAGGATAAAGGGACTTTTCTTCACATTGTATGTAAATTTAAGGTAATCTTCATTTGTTTATAAAATTGAATTAATTATTACACAGTAAATATGCACTAATATTTTATACTGATAGATAATTATATGTCCATTTACATGTGTAGAAATCATACAAAGTAATCTCCCCAGTTCATCTGTTTTCAGGCATAATAAGTCTGGAACATGGACATCACAATAATTTCTAATTTTACCATTATAACATTTTTCCTTCATCACAAAAGCTCCCTCTCAACAGTTAAGTTATATTTTCAGAAAAAAATAATTCAGAACATTTTCTGAATTTATGCAAACCAAAACCAAACATCAAAGTACACTCCCCTCACTCCCAAAACAAATTACAAAAATTGCAGTTTTTGCAGAACCATTTACATCAGTTTGCTCTGCATTATCCTCTGGAGCGTTTCACTCCTTTTAAATTGCCTCAGAGGACCCTGCGCTTTGACTTCATCCCAGAACGCTATTCATACATACAGTGCTATCACATCATCCAGCGTGAGAAAACATGCAAAGTCAATGACTTAAATGCTGGCAATCTAACTTTACTCCTGCAAGCACAGGGTGCACATGGGTCATTCGCCAACAGAGAGTTTCTTTGACCATGCTGCAAGCGACCACAAGCTGCCTTTTCCCATGCTCCAAAGTAGTCAGAAGCTATGTAGCTATGGCAGTATGGCACTAAGCCTGATCTAATAGCCTGTCTGTCCGTGGGAATGATTATTCTTGGGTTCAGTGCAAATTATGATAAGCGGCGTGTGGTGTGATATCCATTTTGTACCTGGCTTGTGTACGTTGTTATGTCAGACAATGCTTGGAGCCACCTACCGTACTGTTCGTTACCCTACTATTTGTGTGTTTTGTTCTTCTTTCAGTCTCTCTCACTTTACTACAGGTAAGAATTCAAAGACTGAGATATTACAGCCTAGATTATACTTCTTGTGGGACACTCACAAAAACACTCTGAAGTTTCTCTATCTGCCTTGGGTCTCCAGGCAACCTCTTCTCTTCTAAGAACAGAGACCCCTCTTTAGACTCTGTGACTACTGCTGAATCCCCATGGTTTTGACTAACTCCTTCCCAGAGCTCAGTCACAGCTGACATCTGAGTGACAATTTCTCTCTCCAGGATCCCACAAAGTTGAATCACGTAATGCACAGACGTTGCAAACTGTTTCAAAAGCAGCCACTCTTCACTTTAATGACCACAAGAGATACACCGAGCCACATAAAACAGCAAACACACGTACATCTCTCTGCCTACGTTTCCTCACTCTTGAATTTTCCTTGAGATTTTGTGAGATCCCCTTTGGTGCTTAGGGACCTTCCCCACCCGTCTCCCGCCAGCAGACAGCTGCTCCTTCGACCGGTGGCTTCCACTGACTCCCTACTGCCTCTGTGTCACAGGACTCCTCCGCTGTGTCTGTGCACCACTTCCATCTTTCCTGACCAAGCTGCTTCTGCTTCCAAAAATTCTTCCTGGCTTTGAAATCCTAACATTGCCACCTGGCTGCTTTGTCTTGGTTCCTCCCGAGAGGGATACGCTGTCCTTATTTAAGATCCCATTCTTCGTTTGCCTCTCCTAGTTCAGAGTAAGCTAGATGGAGAGAGTCTGTAATGACTGACATGCTGGCACCTCTCCTGTCTCTTGTTAGCACATGACAGCCCCAGACACAAGGAGACTCACAGTTCATGGAAACAAAATGGAATTTATAACTTACGCGATGATTCAAGGAATCTGTCTATGTACATACATAAACTCTGCAATCAGACCATTGAATTCTGAGCTACTTTAAGTCTGATGGGCTGGGAGGTTTGAGACAACATTTTAAAGGTAAAGCCCAAACACTCAGCAGTTTTTAGTCAGTTAAATTTAAATAAAGGTGCAAAACAATACATCAGCCCACGACTTTACTAGTCACTCTCAATCTTGTTTTGCTTCACACTGTCCACATTTGCAGTTAATAATTGCCACAGATTTTCGTATTGTAAAAACACAACCACGCTGTTTAAACTGAGAGATGCTTTTATTTTTGGGCAGCAGGGACATTTCCAGTTTTAAGGGATCCAAAGAGGTGTCCAGCACAGTGTTAGATCATGCGATAAGTATATTCATTGTGTGTTTCTCCTAAACTAATCAGCAAAGAAATAATTCACATTGTGAATATTAACATTGTCATCTGTAGGCGTGGAAATTAATGACCCATAGAAATGAATCAAGCCATTCACCTCTCTCTCAGAGTTATTGTTTTAGGGGAATCAAGAAGACAGCTCTTCATTAACTGTGTTCACTTTTTATTTCATAATCATGTGTCCTAGAAACTAAAAGAAAAAGTTTGGAGAAAAATATGTAAAGAGGTCAGTTGCAGGAATACATAAAATCAGTTTCCCAAGACGTATATCACAACCTCATGCCCATTGAATTAATGTAGTTATATTAGGCAAATATAATAAAAATAATCAAATGGATAAATCCATTTAGTTTAGTATAGTTTTTCATATCAAAGCTCCGATGTGTTTCTATTGATTTGCAGAGCTTGAAACACTCTTTTTCTCCCCTTTTTTCCCCAAAATATTATAGCTAACGGTATTTTAATGAACACTTGAAACAGTAAGGTTGCTTAAGAGAACACGCAAGCATTTATATTTTGGATATGAAAAGAAAATTAACTGTATCTTTAATTAATATATTAACCAGTTGTACAATTATTCACTCCTGAAGTACAGGTGTTCTGCAATACAAATATCTGCAGCACAATTAAGATTTCAAATAAGATTTTTGGATTTTAAAAATACATTTAATCACACTATACCAAGTGTTAACTTGTTTTTTCTTCACTCTGAAAGGCTTCTATGAGACACAGAGAACTGCCTTGCAGCATTGGCCCCCAAAGTCAATGAAAGCCACTGCATATTTCAAATTAAGCTTTTCTCATCTTTAACTTATGAAAGCAGATACGAACTATTTACCATTGCCAGTTTCTTTTCATTAATATGAGAAAAAGATTGAACACAATGAGCAGATTACTACTTCTAACAAAGTTAATTTATTTAACCTTTCTTTCTTCTAAGAAGGGAGGGCATTATACTTGCCAAGTGGTGTATGCATCCCCATTCCTGGGGTTACTACTTACTAAATGTCAATACAAACACCAAGGCAGCCACACTGGTCTCTTTGTGAAGAAGAGATCTAAATAAACACCTTATTAAGGTAACTTCAAGTATCTCAAAACAGCATGTTTGAAGCAGTAGACAGTAAACTGCAATGTAAAAAAAGAAGCCTAAATGCAAGTTTCTATGTACTTGAATATAGTATTCAATATACCACCTTCCTTACTTGAACAACAGAATACAGTAGCTGAAAAATGCAGGTATTTAAACAGATTATGATGTACACCTTTTCCACAGATTTTCAAAGATGTATTGAAAAGACTGTAAAGATTTCAAAATCCAGTATGTGTGAAATGTTTTTAAAGCTTATTTTCTAAATGCTTTAAGCAACCCCCCAACACCAAGATTCAGTCTCCCTACAGCTTCCACTAATTGCAGTAGAACTTGATGTACCATTTCACCCATGTAAAAATACGGAGGAGGAGGAGGAGACGTCGCCCTTTACTGCCTAATACTGCAGTAGTTAAAGCGTTCTGGAAGTCTGGCTCACTGCTGTTTGCACACCCTCATAGATACAAACGGCATCACAGACTTATGTCCTCATAATTCCCTGCCAACTCTCACTCAAGGTCTTGTGATGATTCGCCTCTTCTGTGACTCAGCTGTCTAGCCAGACTGCGTCTAGTATCACCCCTTCTGGAGTTTTAACCATCCGCAAA